CTCTTGAAACCATGAACGTCGAAGATTTCAGTCAGAGAAAAAGTCACCGTCAACATGTCAACTAAATGCGATTCCAAGTCTTAAAACGCCACCCAAATACGATCGGTTCAAGGAATCTCCATTTCCTTGGAAAACTCTTTCGCTGCCTGTGACACCATTCCAGGTGAGAGTTTGGTTAATGAAATATTGAATGAATTTCTCTTCTCATTCTTCCTTCATTTCTGTTTGGTAAATTGATTAGCATTAATTATTATAGGTAATACTTCTAAGACTAATGTAGTATTCTCAATTTCAGGTTAAATTTGTGTGCTCTTAATATATGATTGTCACGACTATGTTGTTTTCCATTAATTTTTGGTGTCTCAAAATTACCATCAAATGCCTTGTTTAATGTTCTAGATGTATATTGATTTGACTGGAATCAGTATTATTCCGCAGATAATTATGTGCATATAAATTTACTTTGAAATGCCACATCCTTATAAGAAAATGCAACCACCCTTTGTAATTGGCAATTAATTTTGAATTCTGTAACCTGACTAAATTTTTTTTTTCAGTGTTGGGTAGAATAGCTTGACCATTTTGCATTTTTTTTCAACACAGCATGCGACTGGTTCTTGGTTCTAACGAAGAAAAATGAAGGAAACATTCATTAATGGATTCATTCCTTTATGAGGATGTTTTACCATTGTCCATATGTTTACATCATTGTTGTTGGATAACTGAATAGAGCTCAACTATATTGTACTAGTGAGTTATCATGAACAGTCAAATATGACCTTCAAATTTGTTTTTTTCTATTTTTGCCTCGAGCTGCTATTTTCCCTTTTTTTTTTATAGGTTATATTACTAACTGTCGTGTCTTCCCCTGTTATTAAAAATGAAAATTATAAGTCATTGTTGAAACATGGATGCCAATGATAAATGTGTATAGGCATATCTTATATTGTATTTTTTATGCGGTGATATCATGATGTGAATTTTTAAAATTAGGAAAACGGTAAATTTCAAAATTATTATGATAATATTTTTTATTTTATCACATGATTATATATATATATAATATTTAATGTGTCCCTGCCCTATTTTTTCAAAAAATTTCATGTCGTCATGTCGTATCCATGTCCGTAGTCCTTAGCTTAGTCAATGAAAAGTCAAAGTAAGGATCAAAATTTTATTTTGGTGCATGGTTTTGGTGATTCGGAAAACAGAAATATTTCGAAAATAAGATGGAAATAAAGAAAAAATTTAAAAATCTGTTTCTGAAATATTAGTCAAAACAACTGAAAATTTTCAAAACATAGGTTGAAACACACTAAAACATAAGGATTTTGATATTCAATCAGTGATTCGTTTCGGTTCCCATGAAAACGAAAACGTTTTGAATGTTTGGACTGTTTCAAAATGAAATTTAATTCCTTGAGTCAAAGGATGGTACTGATTAGGCTCATCGAGTAATTCGAACAAATTATATTACTCACAAATATTGTGATTTGCCCGTTGCAACAGTAAAATGTTCTCGAACAATTCGAACACATGGGGTGGACAAGACTTTGTTGAAGTGAGATGATATTTTAACGTAGATCTTGTCAGCCCCATAATGACCTTTGACAATGCACAATGAGAGAATATGATTTATGTAGTCGAACCTGAATGGATGGAACGATACTTTATTTAGTTGAGCTGAGTTGAGAAAACATTTCTCATAGAGCATCCAATGCCCTCTTTGTTGTGTTTAGAAACATTACATTTGCACTATGTAATCACAATGTATTCCATAACAAATTAATAAACAAAGTATTATCTGATACCCACTAGTCATATACTTGTCATCCTCATCCAAAGTACATTTCATAGAACATCAGTTGCTTGTAAGAGACGTAATTATAGTAATTAGTTTCATAGGAGAATATCTCATTTTTTACTCCTACTATAGGGGTGTATTAATCATCTCTCCTTACATTGTCCGGTGGTTTTGTCTCTATAGGGAAGGTTATTTTCTTTGAGGGAATTGTGTCGGGTTTCACCATTTCATGTGAACCTATGTTTTTTTACTGAATTTGGGAGTTTAGAGTTTAGAGTTTGGAGAAGAGGAATAATGCTCAATCCCTTTGGCATTGTGGGGTGTTTTCTATTTTTTAGATTTCATATTCGGAATGGAACACAATTTTTTTTTTTACCATAACTTTGAAGATGAGGTTTCTCGATTGTGATGTGTGTGTCACATCCCTAGATTCCTTAGTGACATAAGCCTTGTACACTGAGCTACCCTTTTGAGTTTGAAGAGGATGTTGATTTAGAGGAAATAAATTTTTTATTTTTTTTGCTTTTTTGGGGTTCAGACTCTTGTTTTTGGGGGCAAATTCTGTTATTTTTTATGAGGGCAAATGGATATCTATATATGAAATGTAATAAGTCTTTTTGGGTTTTTTATTGCACCTTTCTTGTCTCTCTTTATTAGAGGATCACACCCCTTTCTTTCACTGGCTTCTTATTCTTAACAAAATTTTTGCCATTATTGATATAAAAAAAAGAGGTGCAATTCGGAGTGCAGTGGATTAGTCAAAAGTGCAATTCAGATTTTGGTGGTTTAATATTTTCAGTTATGGTATATAAGGCCTTCTCCACTCAATCTTTTCCAATAACTTGACTCAATATTGTTAAAAATTCCCATCTTCTGCCTATAGCTGATTTCTTTAATTTTTTTCCTCATCTCTTTCCTCTACTTCTTTACCTTTGAAACCTCTTTCCCTCTCAATTTTCTCTTCCTTCTCACATTTGCTTCCATTCTAATATTTTCTATAAATAAGCTCATATCATTCAGGCACATGTCCACCATTCTCAATGGAATTGAATCTCTCAAAAGTATTCTTTCTTACTTCTTTTTTGTCTTTCTGTTCTTATAATGCCGTAATGTTGAAAATCCTAATAGAAAAGATAGAACACAACAAACATGGTGTTTTTAGTTCTAGGCCAACATAAATCCTGAAAGACGAAAGGATCATGATCGATTACTCGGTAATTGTTTTTCTAAAAGCCATTTTATCCTCCTTCAACACTTCGAAGGCGCTTTTGAAAGAATTGTGATCAATTTATGCGTATTCTCAATGATATTGAAGGGCATAATCCTTAAAAATACTTGCATGTTATGATCTTGGATTATCCCCCTTGAAAAGACGACACCAATCAATTAAAATGCTTGCTTATCGAATGCTGGTGGATGCGATGGATGATTACATTCGCGCTGGGGAAAGAAAATAAATACTAAGTTTTAACTTTTTTGTCAAGCAGTTGGGTGTGTATCTTAGATCCAGGAAAGATGATATTGCTAGATTACTTGTCGTTGGAGAGGCTCATTGTTTCCCAAAATTAATGAGATGGCTATAATGAGTTTGGTTATGAACCATCATAACATAATTTGTTATTAGTAGTTCTATGAGAGGGTATCAATGACTTTGAATCCTTCATAGATAATCATGTTATAGTTAGAGATATGAGTGCCCATCATGATCTCCCCATTGACTTAATTTAGCATTTGTGGTAACATTATGGAGGGATGTTGTAACGCCCCGGTTTCTCGGACACGTTAATTGAGAAATCAACGACCATAAACCATTAATATATCGGTTAGAGTTTTAATTACCTCAAAGTCAAATAAAAATAACCAGTAATATAGTCTCCAAAATACACAAATTAATATCCTCACATCATTTATTTCAACCATGAAAATTGAAGTTTCAAAACTTCAACTCCCGATATCCCAATCCATATCCTTTTCTTTTAAGTCCACCCGAAAAATTATGTGGAGAAGTATACAATATGATAAGAAATAATATGCTTAAAAGAACAAGAATATTGAAGATATTAGATCAAATTAGAATAGCTCAATCAATGAAAATCACTTAACTATACATCAGTCTATATCCCATGTAATGTACGATTTGGGTTATCGGAATTTTGTGCACACTCGCAAGGACCACGACATCTATCAACCCTATCCACGCCAATTATTTTGAAACCATCTAAGTATTGTTTCATATTTTTTGAAAAAATAGGGTTTATTTTTCAAATTTGCAATTTCGGCCCTTCTCCTGAATAGGCCTAGGGCAAGAGCTCCTAAGTTGCCCGGCCCCTTGTGGTTGTTTTCGATGACTTTTTTTGGTGTTGTGACAACCGGCTTCACTGTTTAGTGCCAAAACAGAGTGTAGGCTTGTAATTTTCTTCGGTTTTTGACTATTTTGGCCTCTGTGTTCTCCTTGAGGTCCACTGTTGTGACTGGCTTCGCTGGTTAATTTTGGGGTTTGATCCGGCATGAATTGCGTGGTTCTATCTGCTTTTTCTGCTCTGTTCTTTGGTTGTTTGTGAGATTGGTGGTTGTTTGTGAAATAAAATTGGGAAAACCTCATTAATTGCTGAGATATGAGTTTCCATGGGCATTGGAAACTTTCCCTTTCAACTCTATTAACATCCCATTGATTGTCTTGCAACTCTTATTTTCTGTTGGTAACTAAATGCCACAAATAATTATGTCCTAAGTAAACCTTCAAAGCCATGTACCCACTATGTGTGGTGGATCTGTTTAAGAGAGAAGGGGATCCGTGTTGTGTGGTTTCTGGTGCACATGGGTTACACGGGTCATCGACCTGAACNATCCATGTACCCACTATGTGTGGTGGATCTGTTTAAGAGAGAAGGGGATCCGTGTTGTGTGGTTTCTGGTGCGCATGGGTTACACGGGTCATCGACCTGAACGTAAAATTAGATGACTTGAATATGACTTGAACCTAAAATAACAAGACCCGAACATGATAAGGATCGATTGACACCACCCGTAATTAAAATACCTATCTCCTCACCTTTAGTTTTTCTTTGTTTTTATACTATTCATTCTCTAATACTTTGGGTCGAGACAATTTTTTCCTTCTTTCCAGGGAAACTATTGTCCGGCCAAACAGGTGGTAATACATACCCAGTTGGTTGCATGATTGATCCTAGGTCTCATGTCAAGTTATCAAGACACTGTACAGGCTAAGGTAGCCAACACTTTCTCAGAGCACTTTATTAAACACATGAAGCGTAATGCCTGCATAATTTAGACCTGGAATTTTATTTGACATAGCTATGCATGACTGACCACATTTATATTGGTTTCCCCAGCTCCATGCTGTATACATTCTGATGATTTCTTTTTCATCTTGTTTGATGTAGATCTTTAAGTTTAGTTCTGTCTGGATACACTGCCAAGTCTATCTGATGGGGTGGGGAAACATCTACAGAAGGCGCATGAGAGTGTTCACATTGGCTATTGTAATTTACATGGATTATAAGGTATATTTTGTTTCTTATTTTCCAGTTAATATGCTGGGGGATTCTCAAATGTTGAGGACAAACTACTCTTTCATTACTTTATTTATTCTGTTTAGCACCTGAAGACCTTTTTGTCCTTTTTGGTTTGTGGTTGCATACCTGAAGGCTTTACAGCAGAGAGAGAAATGGATGAGCAAAACAAAAAGGGCTGATCTATGGCAGAAAGCACATGAGCGTAATGCAAAGCGTGTCCTTAATTTAATGATAGCGTTGGAAGGTTTGTGGGTTAAACTTGGACAGTACTTATCCACACGTGCTGATGTGCTCCCTGAGCCCTATATATGCCTTCTAAAGCAGTTACAGGACTCTCTTCCTCCGCGTCCCTTGGAAGAGGTAATTTTTTCAGCTAAGAATTTCAAAATATCACTGGAGTGGGACTGCCCATCTAGTTTTTTTTTGTCATACTCATGGAGACGCATGCAATCTACCAGAAGCAAAATTAGTATTTTATGCTTTCACAAAAACAATCATTTGTTCATTTGATCAAATTGATGTACTTTTTTTTTGGTAATGTTTCTTCTATTAAGAAAATGCTATGCTTATACTTTAAAATTTACTTTGTTAGCAACACAGTCGCTGATATGTGGCAGTCAGTTGAATCTAGGTTCTTAATATGATGACTATTTTGAGTGTATTAGGGTTCAAGGTATCGACTGACTCCTACATGACTCAGCTGAGTTGTAACTGTACACATTATGAAAATATCCCATGTCCCACCTCAATCCGCAGGGATTCGGTTACAACTCGGTGGTATGGCTTGACCGGGGGATTTACATTGGTACAAATCAGATGATTCATGTTGGACTTGGACCGATATGGTAAGAGTCTTCGGCAAAATTGGCAAAATCACAAAGAAAATCCAAAAAACAAAGGAAAAAGGGAAAGGGAGAAGAAAAGCTTAGAATCAGGAACCCAATATTCAGAAAACCAAAATGTCGGGCTCTTTCTTTCACTGTTCCCCAAGAAATTTCTTAATGCCAATATTTTCTGTTTCGTCGACCCTGAGCTTGTGGTCCTCCTCTAAGTGGGTTCAATTGGATGAATCTGTCAAGTCAAGTCATGGTCAACGTATGTAGCAGTAAGGATGGTGCATCGCCTATTTCTTGTTCTTGTTTAGAAGCTAAAGCGAACACACCTGCTACCTACTATATTGGACCTTCGACTAGACATTCTACCTTTGTTGAGGAGAAACCAATAAAATCTGCAACTGTCAAAACCTTAAATTGTAGAAATCATCTACAAATTCATCCCTTTTTGCAAGCATATAAACAAATAAACAATTGCATGGCAAACCTGTAAAATCGAAGACAGAACCCTTCATCTTCTTCTACAATAGGTAGTAGTAGGATTTCTTTCCCATTGATCGACTCTAACTTGAGCTTCTGATTGCATAGTCAGAGATGATTCGTTTCTCTAGTTTTCTCTCCTTGTCTCTCACGTTCTCTTTCCCTCTCTCTCTATAGGGGCAGATGAGCGACTAGAATAGAAGAGTGAACCTCTTTTCTGTTTTTTTTTTTTGTATTTTGGGGTTATCTTATAAGTCTCTCTCTAGAGTTTGCTTTTGTACATTCTAGCTAAACTTTTTTTTATTACTTTTTAAGTACTAAACTATAAAAAAAAAACTAAATATAATAATAATAAGTGAGACAATAATTATGATTTGGGCTCGATATGTCAGATGCTTAGATTGAACAATGACGATAACAAATATTTTTAGTAATGCCCTCATACTCAATTTATTATTTTTAATGTGATTAATGTGTTAGTAATGCCCTCCTCCCGTGATCCTTGAGTCTCCTTCTTGGATCCTATGTGTTGATGGTTTGATTGGTGTTCAAGATCTTCAACAATGGTAGCAATAGTTCTTCATAAGAATTCTATGTTGATCTTGAAGCAATTCAAGTTTTGATCTCTCTAAGATTATGTTCTCTCTTGTTAGAGCTATCTCTCTAATAGCTTCTTGTCCCATATAGAAGTCTTAGGGGACGACCTCTTTAAATAGGAATAGGAAATAAGAGTTCTGGTTGAGTGTGGAAACCTATTTGCATCACAACGCTCGAGCTCTAAGCGAGCAGCCAGAGTGCACTGGCCAATGGAAAGCCAAAACAGGAAAGCCTCCATCCAATGACTCATCTCAAAAGCCATTTTCGAAAGCTTAAACCCTAAAGTTTCAAAAACAGTTTAACACAAAACATCCGAGCCATGAACAAATTAATACTCACAGTCTAAATGCAATTTTAACACCTAAGTTAAACCAAACTAAGACAACTAGGTAACTAAGTTATCTTACCTCACCTAAGCATGATATGATCCAAAAAATAGCTTGAGTTTTTGTTATGTTATATGTTATTTCTAAACTAAGGGTAGTTTTGTACTTTGTGATTATATATAAAATTTGGGTGTAGCTCTTAACTTGATAATCTACCTTGGTATTAGAGCATCGGTTCAGATTTGAAACCCTTTAGTTGTTGAATATCGTCGGAAATCGTTGCAAAGCATCAAAGTCGTTGACATATTTTTCTGACATGCTGACGTCAGTGACAGGAATGCTGACGTTAGCTACTAGAATGCTGACGTTAGGATTGAGTTTCGTAAAAAAGTTTCGAAATTCTTATGAGAGATTCAATTTGGCCTTTTAAGAATTACAATATTTTTTGAAAAATTTTTGAATACATCTAGCTTGTTTTTTTTAACATTTTTATGGAATTTTGGGATTTTCTTGGTTTACACCCAAATTTGTTGTTCTTGAGCAATCTGGGAATTCTTTTTGGACCCAACCTGTTGGATTTGGCTCGACTAAGGTAGATCTACAATGCCCAGACCGTATTCTTGCATTTGGAGTGGATTGGTACATGTTTTGGCTGCTAGTAGTGAAGTTGTTCAAGTGACGCCTATTGCTTCTAGTGGCATAACATAAGCTGTTTGCCTTCCTTGGATTGCCTTTCATGTACCAACGATAATTGATTAAGACTATTTTGGATTGTCCATAACTTGTTGCAGTTGGAGTGGATCGGGGAGGTTTTTTGACAAAAAACTATGTCGGTCTCCAATTTTGGCCTCGCTTTGTGTTTTTAATCACTGTTTGTGTTTCTAACCACTGTTTGGCTATTGGTTTCCTGTATTTTGGCCTATGGTGTTACTTTAGGTGCTATCTAGAAGCTTTGTTGTTGTTAGATCAGATCTGTGTGTGTATTGGGCACCTATTCAGTTCAGCTAGTGAGTTTTTAGCCTTTTTTCAGTTTCGACAGTGTTGTTGGGGTTTTTTAGATCATTCGGGGATATCTGTTCCACACTTCTTGGGTTGTCGTTTGAGGTCTTTCTGCTTTGCTATTTTGGGGCTACTAGATGAATTCTTTGGCCACTTTTTGATCCTTTTTGGCCACTCTTATTAAACTGATTGTTCTCGCTTTGTCTCTAGGTCTTGTTCTGGTTGAGGCATATTACTTGTGCTGTATTTGCTTCTTGGTTTTGTGTATTTTTGCCTATTATTGAAAGTGTTGGCTATTTTGTTGGTTTTGTGACTCGCTGGTGTGATTGTTTGATCCTATTGCGTGGACATATCGAAAGGGAGTGTAGTCTCTAGTAAATTTTACTCAAGATGAGATGCAGATTCTTAAGCGTTTGATTGCTCAACTTGATGTTTCTTCTATTGCACTTGATATTTCCTCTACTACAACTCTTAATCCTATCTCTTCTTTCAACTTTGCTTATACAGGTATATCTACTAGTGGAGCCATAGATAATATGTCAGGTTTTTCTAGCCTTTTATCCTCATATTATACTTGTTCTGGTAGGGATGAAGTGAAGGTGGCAGATGGATCTTTATCCTCTATTTCTGGGAAAGGTTCAATTAATTGTTCACCTTCTTTATCTCTCTTCTTTGTTCTTCATGTTTTCAAGTTCTCCACTAATTTATTGTTTGTTAGCAGAATTACCAAATCCTTAAATTGTTCAGTGATTTTTTTCTTGCTTATTGTATATTTCAAGTTCTGGAATCATCGAAAACGATTGACAATGATAGAGCATATAGTGATCTGTACCTCTTAGATGTAGAAACTTCTTCTCAGTCTATCCGTCAAGCTCTTCAAGCAGATGGTGTTTCAGCTCTTACATCAGTGGCATAGATGTTTGGGGCATCCATCATTCGGTGTTTTAGAACATCTTTTTTCTAGTTTAGTGAAATAGTATAGTGGACAATTCTTTGTTTGTGATGCTTGTGAATTTGCCAAGGACAAACGTTCATCTTATCCTAGTACTAACCATAGAAGCGCTACACTTTTTGCCATTATTCATTCAGATGTGTGGGGCTTTTCCCGTATTGTGTCTCCTTTTGGTTATTGTTGGTTTGTTACCTTTATTGACTATTATTCTCATCTTACTTGGGTTTACCTACTCCGCAATAAAGGTGAAGTTTACTTATGCTTTAGATCTTTTTATAAAATGGTGAGTACTCAGTTTAATGCCAAAGTCAAAAATTTTTAAGTGATCTTATCTCAATGAAAATGGCATCTTGTACCAAACTACTTGCGTGTACCCCTGAGCAAAATGGGGTTGTTGAGCAAAAAAATGTCATCTTCTTGAGGTTGCTTGTTCATTGATGTTTATTATAAATGTTACTCAATCTTTTTGGGGGGATGTAGTCGTTACCGCTGATTATCTTATTAATCGTTTATCCTCGAGGTCCTCCAATGTAGATCTCCTATAGAGTGTCTTTCTAACTCTTTTTTCATACCTTATATTTCTTCCCTTTCCCCTAACGTTTTTGGGTGTCTTTGTTTTGTATTCGATTATAGACGCTATAGGAAAAAACTTGACCTCAGGGCTTTGCGATGTGTTTTTGTTTGTTACTCTGCCACCTAAAAGGGATATAAATGTTATCATCCAAAGTTACAGAAAATGTATGTTAGTATGGATGTTATCTTTCGTGAATTTGAGTTCTTCTACTGCTCGGACATCTCTTCAGGGGGAGAATACCATTATAGGGAAAGAGAAGTTTTGTTAGGAGCCTTTTATTCAATTGCCTGTTCGGTGGAATGTTAGTCATGGAGAGAGCAACAATTTATGGAGAAAAGAGGTGATGGAAGTGATGCACATGATGTTCACCTTCACAAGGATAATTTGAAGACTTACTCTCGGCGTCAGAAAGTATAGATTACCAATGTACTGTTGGATCAGTCAAATTCTTCCACTCCAATTTCATCCTCCACTAATTTATAGGTAATGAACCTCTAGATGTTCCTCTTATTATTGATTATCTAGTTGTTGATGACTATGATCTTCCTATTGTAGTCAGAAAGGGTGTTCGAGCTTGGACTCAATATCTTATCTCTAATTTTGTCTCTTATGATTCCTTGTCTCCATCCTATCGCACTTTTGTTTCCTCCTTATCTTCTGTGTCCATTTCTGAGGGTTGGAAATAAAATCTAACTGATTCTAAGTGGAGAGAAGTTATGGTAGAGGAAATAAAAGCTTTGAAGAAAAATGACACATGAGAATTGGTTCCTATTTCTTATGGAGTAAGGGCAGTGGGGTATAGATGAGCGTTTACCAGCAAACAACAAGTTGATGGGATTGTTGAGAGGTACAAAGCAAGACTAGTTGTTAAGAGATTTACTCAAGACATATGGTATTGATTAGCAGGAGACTTTTGTTCCCGTAGTAAAGATGAACTCTATATGTGCTCTTGTCTCTTGTGCTGCAAATTTGGAGTGGAGTTTATAGTAGTTGGATGTGAAGAATGCCTTTTTTCACGGAGATTTGGAGGATGAAGTATACATGGAGATTCCTCCAGAAAGGTGTGTAAGCTGAAGAAATCTCTTTATGGGTTGAAACAATCTCCCAGAGCTTGGTTTGATAAGTTTCTCAAAGTTATGCTAGGGTCAGACAGATCATACCTTGTTCGTTAAACGGGTTAATGGAAAGATTACTGTTCTTATTGTATATGTGGATGACATAGTGATAATTAGAAATGACGAGCATAAAATCACCAAGTTAAAAGTTCTGTTGGCTAAGAAGTTCGAAATCAAAGACTTGGGTCTACTGAGGTATTTCTTTGGAATTGAGGTTGACAGATCAAACAGAGGTATTTTTATGTCCTAGGGGAAGTCTATTCTTGACCTTCTTAAGGAGACAGGGTTGTTGGGATGCAGGCCTACGGTGATGTTGGGATGTAGGCCTATAGATTCACCTATTAAAGTCAACCATCGACTGAGTGGTGGTGTTGGTGAGGCAGTAGAGAAAGAGAGTTACCAAAGCCTAGTAGGGAGATTAATATATCTCTTATCCACTTTGTCAGAAATTACTTATGCAGTGGGTGTTGTTAGTCAATATCTCAAGTTAGCTTTGGGAAAAGGGATCTTATTCTCTAATAATGACCACTTGAAGTTGGAAGCATATAGTGATGCAGACTGGGTAGACTTTGTGGATGATAGAAGATCTACTTCAAGTTATTGCACCTTGAGTAGAGGAAATCTTATCACATGGCGAAACAAGAAGAAACAGTATTAACTAGATCTAGTGTAGAAGCTGAATACAGAGCAATGTCTTATGGAATTTGTGAGCTTATGTGGCTCCAAACACTACTGAGAGAGCTGAGAATTCATGATAATTGACCTATGAGACTATATTGTGACAACAAGGCTGCTGTAAACATTGCTCATAATTTGGTTTAACATGACTGGACCAAACATGTTGAAATTGACCAGCACTGCATCACAGAGAAGTTAAATAAGGGTTTAATTGCATGTTTTTTGTGAAATTAAAAAAACAGTTGGCTGATGATTCACAAAAGACCTTGGTAGTAAAGTTTTTCATCCCATTGTTTGTAAGTTGGGCATGAGGGATATTTATGCACCAACTTGAGGGGGAGTGATAGGTTATGTGTTATTCCAAGACTGGTTGTAGTTTTGTATTTTGTGATTATATATAAAAGTTGGGTGTAGCTATGTAATCTAACACACTACTCTCTTTCATATTCTTCTTCCCTCTCCTCCTCTCCTCTCTAAACTCTCTTAACTTGATAATCTAACTGTTTCTTCACCCTATCTTGCTTCCGTCTTCAATCTTCTTTTGCCACTTGACCATGGATTTAGTTGAGATACAAGTTATATAGTGACCTTACAAAATTAGCCAATTACAATATTTTTTCTAACACCTACATCTATAAATATTAAGTTTTGTGAGGGTAAATTTATGCAACTAACAAAACATATGATCTGGGCGAGGATAAAATTGACAGGAAGAAAAGTATTATTGTAGATGGCTGAAGTAGTTTGAAAATTAAGTTTTATTATGAGTTTCTATCCATATAAATATAAAGCTAACCTCCCCACGCCTTAAAAGCATTGTGTTTTCTTGTAAGTTTATATTAAGATTCTTCTCTTAGTTTTGTTTAATTTGTTTGTTTATCTGGTCCAAAAATGAACTCTGTTCTACATCTCTTGATCTCCCTCTGTTTTGCTTGTTATATCTATTTTGAATCTGCTTTTGCAGTTGGCTTTTATATTTCATGTTCTGCCTGCTCCTGAATCCACTAACCATAAGCTATCTGAGTACCTGATCTCTCTATCTTTATAGTTCAAGCTTGAGCCAGCCATGTATGCCTTGTCATAGCTTTGATAGGTTAAAGTGGCTTGATAAAAGGAACTTGATCTGTTTGCAAAGCACTAAAGGGTGAAAATTTGGAAATACACATACATTCTTGTCCTAATAGGCTGTAAAAGGTTTTATTAGCAGAAAAATAAAGAAAGGCTAAATGATAATGAGTAGGGAAATTAACTTTCCTACATGTGTATGTTTACATAATTTTGTATATGTATATTATATTTTTATATTTTTATTTTGTTCCATAACATAGAATATCTGTTGAAGCTCCATGGCTTAAGTGGAAAGTTATTGTTACACAGGTTTGCCAGACTATACAAAAAGAACTGGGGAAATCCATGGATGATCTCTTCTTAAATTTTGACAAAATACCTTTGGCAACAGCATCGGTAAGATCCTCAAACTAACCAGGGTCGTAATACAAAAGCAACAAGAATAGTTAGTTTCAGACCATTTTAATGGTTCCATCTCTAACATGTATATGTTAAACTGGTAGCCCTAATATTGGAAGTTATAGTTGTCACGAAGTAAACTTTGGCTTGTCTAGGTAGGACACAAATCAACATTTCTTTATGATGTTGCTATCCTCTGTTTATCATCAATATCATGAACATCATGGTTAATTGGTATTAGATATCCTTGTCTGGAAAGGAGGCAACTTACAAGGTTTTAGTTCCCTGTTGTATTTGTCTACAATAAAATAACATATTACAGGGAAGGAGGAAAAGTGTGGAAAAACTTTTGGTACTTATCTGTCCTGACAGTGTGACGTTCATTATAGTTTTTACCCTAAAAGTTCTCATGGTTCTTATTTTGGTTAAATTCATCCTCCATCTTTCAACATGTTTTTGTTTAATCCAATCCATGCCTTCCATGAAAACACTTGACGGAAAATTTCATGCATCACTATGGAAAAAATGAAACATGTGCATCACATAATGTACAGGTGCTTTTTTCATGAAAACTTTTTTTCGTCATTGATTGTATTGAATTGAAGCTGTATGGAAAGTTGGAGGATGAAATTGATAAAAAATAAACTTTAAGGACCAAAATGGGAATTGGGAAAACACTGGGGGCAAAAATTATAATTAACACAAAATGGAAATATTGGGATTCATTGGATGTGGAAAGATCCGATTTACTGTGTATTTCTATAGATATGGGTCCATTTTTGTCCAAATAACGAGCTTCATAAAGTCCTGTGTTGCACACTGGCATTAGAGTATGTATACTGATTATTTGTCATAGGCTTGGCAAAACTATTAATGTTTAATGTTGTAATGCTCTCCTTTTGTCACATTCCATTCCAGAAGTGTCAATCTCACCTTTCATAGGATGAGGTAGGACTACATACATTGATTGATCTATCCGCCATCTCCCTTTTGGAAAGAAAACCCCATTATGACTACACCTGTGATCCATTTTATCCACCAGTAAGATAAGTAATTGTTTTGGATTCCAATAACCTTCTATGGATAGGAAAACATACATAAATACAGAGTGCATCATTATAAACAACAATACCACCAAGGTATCTCACCCTCATAGTAAACTGTTATTATGTTCACTATGGCATTGAGCTGGAGTCTTACAGGAATTTGTTTCAGGTTTAGATTATATGATATATATATTTCAACTTGGGCGAGAGTGTTAAGTAGTATGATTTATATATTATTGTAATAAGTATATTACTAATGGGTATACTAGTCTTTTCTAGTTTAACACGATAACTATATATATATGAATTGAGAGTGTGAGGTAGGGTTAATTTTTTTCCATCCTAACTCGCACACACTTTTCTCTTGAATCGTTCTCTTACTATTCCAAACTTTACAAAATATTTTACCATGAAAAACATTTTATTGTCTGCATGATCCAAACCTTGCCACATTTAAGACAGATAGTACACAACATAAAGCGTAGCCAAAACCATTGGTTCAATGATACAATTAAGTGGAATGATGAGTTGCCATACATTATAGCGGTCTACATCTTGAACGTGAAGATAAAGGAGTTAAGAAAGGAAGTTTCTGGTATTGCCAAGTCCCTAGTGCGGCATGCATCTATGGGGGCATCAAAACAAAGTTCTAGATATTGCCACATGTTCTTTCCTTATCTTTTACTGCAAAGAACAAAACCTACAAGTTCTTGTTTAGAACCATCAACAGACATCTCTAGCCTTGCTTTTTTTCATCTCAAACCCCCTCTGCCTCCCTATCTTTGTGCTTTGTATCATATTCAAGTTTCGCAGAAGTCAGAAAAATGTTTATGGGGACAAAAGTCATCATTTTGGCTTCTTCATCAGCTTTCCTTGAAGTGCTGTTACACAATCTTCAATATCTATGCCTAAAATAAGAAGATTTGGAGCAGATTTCGAGGTTGGGAAGTGAAAAATTGGAGATAAATGTGAAGAAAATTGGCTAAAATAAAGAAAATCTGAAGACTTTATTTTAGAAAACAAGGGGGTATGTCGCATATGTAAATTACTTGGGCTTGCGGTTTGTGACACACCGTTTGGCCTGATCCGACCTGGATTGGCTGTTACGGGCGCTACTGACCCACATTCTCGTCTGAAACAGCTGATATGGGTGTATTGGGGGCGTAATGGGAACGGAGGCCAATGTTACCGTGACGAAATGGCCATTGTGAACAATAGTGGCCTATTTTCAAAACTGTCCTTAAGCATAGTTGAAGATCAAAATTGTCATCAACAATTGGAAAGAACGAAGTGTTTCTGGAATTACAAAACAGACAACCAGCTTTTCGTGAGTTGGTATACAATTTAAGAAATGCTTAGCAAATTCTTCCCATATTGACATTATACCCCTTCACTTTACTACTGATCTTCATAGTTGACAAAACTTTAGGTTCTCATGTCACTGTTTTTTGACAGGATACTGGTTAAAAAAGATGAGAGCATATAGAAAAATATAGTTGAACTATACATATCCTTGTCTCATTTACACTTGCTTCCCTCATATGTTAAGAAAAGGCACTTTCACCCCACAAGTTTTTAGTTAGACATTGCATTTTGAGCCTCAAAATATGTCAAATGCTATGAAATGCATGCCCAGCTCTTTTGTTTTACTCTATGCAGATAGCACAAGTTCATCGTGCAACTCTGACCAACGGGCAGGAGGTGGTTGTTAAAGTCCAACATGAAGGCGTGAAGACAATAATATTGGAGGTTTTCACTTTGGCCTTGGTTTGTATGATGTTTGGATGCATGCAGTAATTAGATCTGAATTCGCATATGATTGTGGAGATTGTTTTCCAGGACCTAAAAAATGCGAAGTCAATAGTTGACTGGATAGCATGGGCAGAACCACAATATAACTTCAACCCTATGATAGATGAATGGTGCAAAGAATCTCCCAAGGAACTAGACTTCAACAGTGAGGCAGGTATGCTTGTGATTTATTAAGATGATTTTATATTTTGTTTGTCATTTTAGCTATGTAACTCTTTAATTGGATTTTATCCCCCAGTTTTGTTGTGTAGAATTTTTTTGTATCTTATTATTAATGATTCTCTTTGTGTTTGTAGAAAATACAAGGACAGTCTCTAGAAATCTAGGATGCAGTCACAAATGTGATGAATATGTGCCGGCCAATCGGGTGGATGTATTGATTCCGGAAGTTATTCTGGTATCAACCTTCTCTAACCTTTGTATTTTTGCGCAGGCTATACATTTGGTTATTGCTCGTGCTAAGCTAGAGGATACCCTTATGATGTCAACAAGATCTAATGACACTATTTACCCTCTAAGTCTAAGAGATAGAACGGTTAAATTATAATATAAACTAATATTCAAAAAGAGAGAACATGGCTGAAAAAGTGAGCAAAATTAAGAGTGTGTTTGGATATGTTCTTAGAAAACAGTATCAAAAAACATGTTTTTAGAAAGAACTTTAGAAAAGTGGGTTTTAATTTTTTTTGTATCGTAAAACATGTTTGGCTACATGGTCATGAAACACAATTTCAAGAGACAAAACAATAAAACATATTTGGATAGGGGATCAGACAACAAATAAAAAATGAGATGTAATTTGGACTTATTGTTTTTTCGTCATTCAACTGGAAGGAATTGAAGATAATATCATATTGACCTTCAGACACCCATGTTTGAGTTTGAAAGAAAAATGTGAAAAAAATCATCACAATACATGGATCACCAAAATTATCACTACCCAGTAGCATACCAGTGACAAAATCATGATACAAAATCAAAGATTGTAGCTATGGACAAAAATTTCTCAAATCCTTTCATATTTTTTAAAATTAGAAAAGGGAAATCCATTCCCACAAATCAAACAAATCTGGGTGTGAAGTTATAGATTCAACATAGATCTAAAGTTTGTAGGCTTGGCCGGAGCAAAGTTTGGTCGTTACTTTCAGTGGGTGATTAATTTGGTTAGGGCACAACGATTGTGCAGTTGTGCTTCATACGATTCTCTTGAGTGGATGTGAGGAGTTGTGAGTACAGTGCACAACAAATGTGCATTTAAACTGAACATTAAGTGCACAATAATTTTGATTGTGTTTTTAAAATTCTCCAAAACATGTATAAGTCGTTTTCTAAAACTACCCCCTTTCCGTCCCAATTTTTTTGAAAACGAGATACATGTCTTAGTTGGCCAAACATGTTCTCTACAATTTTTAAACTCTAAAAACAAGAAAACAATTTTAGAGATGCAAATCAAATATGCCCTAAGGTTCTCACCTTTGTTTGGTACCTGATAAATTCACGATACATGTTTATACCATACCAGGATAAGTGACAACAATTCTTAATTGACATGGAAGTGGGGCTCGATAGGATCCAAGTGGATTGGTATGGATTATAGTGCCAAGTGCGACGCCCCCAGACATGACTCCCCATGTGCGATGCCCCCCGATGCGACACCGCAGCTGCAAGCACCCAGTGCAACACCGCAACTGGGCGAAATACATCTCCATCACATTGGAAGTGATAAAATGGACTCTTCACCATAGGTGGACAAGAGTGGAACCAAAAAATTTTGGGGGCAACCTCAGCAAGACTCGCTACCCCCGCTGCAGGAGTCATATTCTCAACCTATTGGACACCATTGTTCGACTGGCCTACTAGACTAAGAGGAGGGGTCTCCACCTAGGGACCGGGCAGTATGACCCTCCTCAAGGAAGAACTGAGCAATGAGGGCAGCTCGACTTGCTTGGGTACTATGCAATAAATACCCACATTACTTGTCCACTGCAGTGGATATTCTACCTGGTTGATGAGAGCATTTTACTCCACCTACCCTTCGCCTAATTTGTTGGTCTCTTCGTTAACAAGCTGTTCGAGTTTCTTCCATCCCATCTGCTTATCTTACTCCTTCCCTTTGATTATCCATGGTATAGATACGTGTGACAACTTTTTTTAACTCTCCACCTACCTTCTTTTGGCGACTCCATTAGGGAGGTTTGTCCTCGTTAGCCTATGCCAGTTATAACTCAGAGTGGGTGTTGTCCAACACGATGACTAAAAATAGCAACGGCACGAAAAACAAACAGAAAAAAAGTTTGCCCCAACGCAAGGATAACCATGGTCCTCTACGAGCCAAAAGGCTCCTGAGGTGCCAAGGCCCTCCACAATGGCGCAGGCTCTTTGCGACATGTAGATTCAGCAACAACGGATTGTGCAACAGTGTAGATGATGCAAGTTCAGATGTACTTCCAATCAACTAGCTTGCAAAACTCACGAATGTTTACTGTTGCTCTCTTAATGCTCGATGTTATCACCTTCGGCTTTGCCAGTATCCTTGTCGATAGCGCTGTCAGGCGATAATGACGCATCACAAAAGCCAAGTCCTCATGGCTTAATAGTGCAGAATCTCACCAATGAACATCTACCACTTCTGTCACAAGCTGCTGCAAGTGACCCCTTGGTGCCCTTGCAACAAGCCACCATAAGCGGTCCTTTAGTGTTCTTATAGCAAACCTCTACAACTAGCTTTTTAAAGCTCCTACAGCAAGGGGCTGTACTTGGCCCTCAAACTATCACAACCCTTGAAGTGCCTAATGTAGCCAGACTTGCAACCACAATCGACGCACCTTTACTAAGCCCTGTGGTGTCTTTCGGATGTGAACACATTGCAACCAGTTACAACAAATGGGCCCCCTCACAATCTCTACAACAGTGCTAACAACCACTCAATTGTGGGGGCAAACTATTTTTCCCACTAGTCCTACAACTATGCCTTTGCATTTTCAGTCCCCAGCACCTAGTGTTGGGTATGTCACACTGGCCCAAGTCTAGGCTCTATTGGATAGATGGAAGGAGCCCATGCCAACTATCATGGACGTAAGTTCCAAGTTTGTCCTGGCGGTGCATTAAGCCATGTATCCTATGGGGTACTCGTCGTTGAAGTTTAAAAAGTTTGATGGAAAAAGTGTCAGTCCTTGTGACCACATTACTCGCTATATTGATAGTCTCGGCCATAGTATCAAAATCGTATGATTCACGAATCTATTTATATGATTCACAAATCGATTTATATGATTCGGTTCTATACAAGTACAAAACGATTCGTATCTTATATAAGAATTATTTTAGAGTTGAATCGCACTTGAATCGTATGATTCATACGATTCGATTCGTATCTCACGAATCACACGATTCAATCACTTTTTTTAAAACCCAAATTTTTTACAAAATGACGTAGTTTTGTCCGCTAAATAGTAAAACGACGTCATTTTGTTTACAGAAGAATCCACTCCCTAATAAAACTCAACCTCTTTGATCGTTCTCTCTCTAACGTTGTCTAAAGCTTGCCTTTCGTTGTCTCAAGCTAAACGTCGTGGCTAACGCTCTTGCATCATCGGTTAATTTTTGAATAGTTTGTTAGATTCTAATTTTTTGTTTCAAAATGTTGGCAATATATTTTCTCCCAATAAATTTTTTTATTTGTTCTTTTTCTATTCATGTTTGTAACCTTATCTATACTAGGTGCCACTATTTTGATTCTTGAATAACCAAGATTTTTTAATGAATTCTTTTTTAAGTTGTTGAATTTGAAAATTGTTAAATAAAAGAAGAAAATGAAGTAAAAGACTAGTGTCTTTTCATTTAGACGATTTGATTATGTCAATTGATTATTTTTAGAATGCAATAATATTAAATATTAAATATTTTGTCTATTTTAAATATATAATATTATTTTTTATTTTTGTTCAAATTTTGTGTTGAATCTTATGATTTACGATTTGATACGATTCACGATTCTCAAATTTATGATTTCGATTCATGATATGAATCGCGATTTGACAACTATGGTCTCGGCCACTATGTGCTCCACGAGCCCCTTCGGATGAGGGAATTTTTTAAGTCCCTCAAGGATAGAGCCTTCACTTGGTACGCCAACCTTCTAGCAGAATTTGTGCGAAATTGGGACGAACTGGTCTCTCGGTTTCATGCCAAGTTTTTCCATGTTGAATAGTTTACAACAATGCTATCCCTGGCAAAGATCACCCAAAATGGTGGAGAGACCGTGATGGCGTACATTGATAAGTTTCGTGACAAGACCATTGAGTGCTAGAAAAATGTCACCAATCTTCACTAGGCTTTTTGAGTCTGCCCAAAGACTTTCAGAGGTGATTTAACCCATCATTATGGTGAGGTCTTGAAAAGATAAGAAGCGGACTACAAGGGCTAATAGAAAGACTAAAGTGCAATAGAAAGATTTCCTCGACAAAATATTTTATCTACATGGGTTTATCCTAGCGACATGAGCTACGATTGTACCGCATTGCGAAGAACCTTTATTGTTACATTTAGTCATACATGGGACACTAGTTGTCCCTGGAGAGGAATATTGCGACGAGTGGCATGGTAACGGTGGTTCCAGAGGACAACATCTTTCCCTTGACTCAAAACTTTAGCCAAGGCAAAAGTTACCTCCTTGTCAATCCTCCACAGAGGGAACATCAATGGCCAAATCAACCCTCATGTTCTCACCCACATGCTCTCACCCAAAGAAGGGCTCGAGACAGTATCCTCGACATGAAGGACGTCATCAGGCACCGGAGGAACGAAAGGCTGGTAATGGCATCATAACTTGCATTACCCTCCTTAATCACTGATGGTTAATTTAGATCTAGCGCAACCTTGGCTACCTGGTTGGCGAGTGAACTTGAAAAATGGAAGACGCTCAAAAGGTTTGGAACGAGATGAGTATAAGCATAAATATGCTTGGGAACATACTAATGATTGAAAAAAATTACATCGCCTAGAGGTCCCCTTGCTGCAAGGACATCCTAGACCCTCCCTTGGAAACTCTTCATCCGCAGGTGTAGTCTTATCTCCCCGCGAGCCTCTAACATCCAAATTCAGAAGGTTGGGTTCACCCTTATCTCCAATTGGTTATATCATAGATTGACTGGTGCTGGCACGAATAGAAGTAAATAGCCCCTTAGAATTCTCAGGTTCCTCCATTAATGTGTGCTTGGTCGAGACTGAGAAATACCTCCTAAGGGCCCTTCTTGGCAAAGACAGTACTCAAGGGCTCTTGGTCATCATCATCTACGCTTAAAACCAACAACACTTACTCTTTGGAAATAGCGTTGCAAAGACCATCAAACTAAGTTTTTTAGACCTTTTTGATCTTTTTATCAACGAATCTTTATTCATGGAGTTGACTCCATTCCTCTAATGGCTCTATGAAGGACCACCCATGGAAGGAGGAGTTAGTTGTAGAGGATGATCTTTTGTGGCAAAAATACTGAGTCCCACCTTTATCGGAATATTGAGTCCAAAATCACTATTTGTAAGGGATAGATTTTTGATGGATGCGATAGCTGAGATGACTGACATGATGATTGAACTGATTGTTGCGCATCACGATCGCCATGTGTCGCGAATTGGGAGCATGAAGAGTCATGGTTGGGGTAATGGATCAAAATTTTAGAGGCCTCCCACAATAGACTTGTGTGCAGAGAAGGAAACAACATTAGGAGTCTAAGGTTCGCATTTGCACAGAGCATGGCGGGAGGACAAACTAACCTACGCAAAATTTTGGGTTGACTGAAGTGTCTGCTGCGTTGACTGAAGTTTGGCCTGGACTAAACTGAAGTGGTTGGATTGGACTGGACTGCATAACCTGAATTGTGTTGGACTGCACAACTGATTGGATTGCACTGGATTGGGCTGGGCAGTTGTATTGGATAGGACTGAATTGGAAAACTGAGTTTTCACATCTACACAAAGCATGACTGATGTCGGAGCCCTCTCAAAGCGTGGAGATCAAACTTCATCCACTGCTAGAATCGTAAGAAGCGAGATAATGGGTCTAGCACCGTAGAAGGTGTTGGCACCTCAGAAGGGGTCAAGCACAATGGAAGGTGTCGGGCATCGCAGAAGACATTAAGCACTGTGTAGGAAGGGACACTTACCCATTATAGTGGAAGCAGCAAGATGGATCTTTGTCCAATAGGGCAAGAGTGGCTTGCAAGCATACTGTCACAGAAATGGTAAACGGATCATCATCCCAGAGATGAGAATAGCACCGCGAACATAGTGCCATAGAAATGTTTAATAGATCCTCGTCTAAGAGACGAGAGTGGCATTGCGAGCATATTACTGCGTGAATGGTAAACGGATCCCGATTAAAGAGACGAGAATGGCATTGTGAGTATACTACCACGGGAATGATTGGGTCCTCGTTCAAGAGATAAGAGTGGCACCGCGAGCATAGGGTCGCGGAATGGTAAATGAATCGTTGTCCAAAAAGGCACGAGTGGCTTGCGAGAAAATTGTCGCGGGAATAGTAAACAGATCCTTGTTCAAGAAACGAGAGTGGTGTCGCGAGCTTAGTGTTGAAGGGACATGTAGTTTTTGAGAGTCACGGTGGCCTAGGTGTCTCGATTTTTGAGGGATCGTTGTCACCAAAGTGTCTTGGTTTTTGACGTAGGTGGCGACGGTTGGGGTAGTGGTGGCATCTAAGGTGGGCGTAACAGCCGAGATAGTGGCAGCACCCAAGGCGTGTGCATCAACCGAAATAGTGGTGGCAACTAGGGCGGGCACGACAATCGAGGTAGTGGTGGTAACTAGGGCTGGCACGGCAGCCGAGGTAGTGGTGGCAACCAAGAGATAGCAGCGTCACCCAAGGTTGGCACGACAATTGAAGAGAAACATGAAGGCCGAGATTGGCATGGCAGCCAAGGTGGGCACAAAACTCAAGTGATTGTGGCAGTTGAGGAATGGCCATTGCAAGAACTTGGAAAGGAAAGAGGCAAGGCACTTAAGTGAAAATATAGTGGAGGAGAGAGTAAGGGAGAACACTTGAGAAATGGAGAAAGGAAAAGGAAATGGGAAATGAAAGAAATGAGGGGTAGTGGTGGCAACTAGAGATGGTGACATTGCCCAAGTTTGGCGCAGCAACTGAAGAGAAACATGAAGGTTGAGACAGGCATGGTGGCCAAGGTGGGCATAAAACTCAAGTGATCACAGCAGTCGAGGAAATGGTGTTGCAAGAAACTTTGAAAACAAAGAGGCAAGACACTTAAGTGGAAAAATGGGGGAGGAGAGAGTAAGGGAGAACACTTGAGAAAGGGAGAGAGGAAAAGGAAATGGGAAGTGGAAGAAATGAGGGGTAGCGATGGCAACCGAAGATAGTGGTGCTGCCCAAGGTTGACGCAACAACTGAAGAGGTACATGAAGGCCGAGATTGGCATGGCGGCCAAGGTGGGTACAAAACACAAGTGATTGCGACAGTCGAGGAAATGACGTTGCAAGAAACTTGGAAAATAAAGAGGCAAGACACTTAAGTGGAAAAATGGAGGTGGAGAGAGTAAGGGATAACACTTGAGAATGGGAAGGTAGGGAGGAAAAGGAATTGGGAAGGGAAAGAAATGAGGGGGAGAACCTTCATTTATAGACATTGAGGAGGGTGCGACACTTAAGGTGGGTTTGACAACCCATAAGTTGCGGGTTCCAAGGCAAAAGGGGGAGATGTTGTTGTGACAACCACTAGTCTCGAGGTGTCATTGTAAATTTAGGGGTCGTGTCGTTGTGATGGCAAGGTACGTTAAAATGTTGGCGATAGTTGTTCTATCAGTTGCGGATCATGAGGGGAAGGGGACACAGTCTCCCCTGACTCGCAGTTTAAGTAACCAATCTTCAAAGAGGTGTGGTCTTTGAGGAAGTAGGCAGTTCGATTGAACAAGTCAAGCTTAGCCATTACTTGTGCCAGGCCTCTAGTCCGCATCAGTCCAAGTCGCCATTATGTCCTAACAATATCAATGACTGTCGTTTTCGTAGGATGTTACGTTTGGGAGTACTTAGAGGTCACGACAGTTAGCTCCAGCACCCCTTTCTGTCAATTTGCAAAGAGCCCTTCCAGTCACACTTCCTTGACCGCAACAGCTCATCAAGTGGGTCCCCGTTGTTAGCTAAGCCATCCTAGTAGAACCCCATGCATAAGCAACCATCAAGGTGGGTCCCCACGGTCAATCATCCATTCCAAGGCCATGGTCAACACGTCTAGTGCTTGGTCTTCGTGCTCGGTGCTTGGTTAAAGCGCTAGTCACAATAGTACTCCTCAGTTAAACCTCCTAACCTCGGTCAAATGCGTGGACCAACGGTCAAATGCGTGGACCACTGCCAGTAGCGTCACTCCGCGAGCCTAGTAGCCGAACTTGATTCTTTGCAGCAGTTAACTTCAGTCTTAGGTCTATTTGAATGCATTAAATGCATTAACTTCGGTCACAAGCCAACAAGTTAGCAAGTCGCGACAATTAATCTTCAAACCAAAGGACAATAACTCAAATGGTGGGTCCCAGACAATTTAAGAAATGGAGTTGGCGGAGGAAAGTTTAGAAGTTAAACTAAGATGCATTGAAATGGTGGTGGGGTCCACCATTTTAGGAAGTTTCAAATGTGTTTCATAAAGAAAGTCACGAAGAATACATGAAGTGCCAAGTTGGACATTAGACACTCCAAGCTTTCGGTCAACATGCCATTCACTCGGTCAACAGGCCATGCACTCGGCCAATGCAACACCTATCACCTCGCGACACCAGTCAACCGCGGTCGGCTGTCATATTGCATTAAAAGAAATGGACCATTTTTATTGGCGATTTTCTTGGCTCAATGGTAGTCAAGGTTTTCGAGGAAATAATGGGCAATTTTACTTGCGATTTTTGAGGCTCAAAGGCAGTTAACATTTTCTATCCTGAGTGGTACAAGGACACAGGGACCTAACTCTGAATTGCGTTAGTCATTTTCAAGACTGTTATGCATGCAAAGGTTGTCACAAGGAAAACCATTGCATACTGGGGGCAACTAGGCATGACAATATTTTCAATAATGGAGAAATGACGACAGAGGGACAGTTCTTTTGACAAAGGAGAAAGGACGACAGAGGACATGTGCTTATTTTATGAATTTTTTGTTATTTTTTAGCGACATCATAGTTGGCTTTCAAATGATAGTTACAGTCAAAAGACAGGTGCATACAGGTTACAGTGTGTACATGCAGGACGTAGGAGGCAAATGTAGTACCTAATATATTCAAGACATGTGTCTATACCATAACAAGACAAGTGGCATCAATTGCTGATATGGAAATAAGGGCCAACTGGTTCCTGCTAGATTAGGATGGATAACAGTGTCAAGTGCGCCACTCCATGTGTGACACCCCCCAGGCACAACACCTAAGGTGCGATGCCCCTAGGTGCGACTCCCCATGTGCGATGCCCCCAGGTGTGACACCCCATGTGCGAAGCCCCTAGGTGCGATGCCCTCGGCGCAACACCGCAACACTGCAACACATCACTATCACATTAGAATTGGCAAAATGGACCCTTTACCAAGGGTGGACAAAAGTGGAACCGTAGAAGTCTAGGGGCAATCTCAACGAGACTCGCCTCCCCTATTACGGGATTGATATCCTTAACCTAATAGAAATCATTGCTCGACTGGACCACTGGGCTAAGAGGAGGGGTCTCCACCAGTGGACAAGGCAGTATGACCCTCCTTAAGAGAGAATTGAGTAACGTGAGTGGACGAGCATAATTGTCAACCTTGACTTGAGATTTTGAAGGTTTAGTTTGCTTGAGCAGACCATCTAGTGTATGACTCACTCTTCATTGTGATGTGCTTGACTGGGATCCAGAAGGACTCCTAATGTAACTAAGGTTATTGGTTCGGAGCATCATATAGAATAATGGGGCATGTGGATTGGTGGTTGAGAACTGAAATTTTTTGAATTTCCTCTATTGGGCACCTCGACAAAGTCTCGAGGAAGGGTTCAGAGAGAGAAGGGAGGACCTCATGTAGGAGCGCACTGGGGGTATCACGTACATGGCCCTCTCGAGGTCGTGGACCCGCGGTGATCGTGATCAGTTGCGATTATTAACTTTGGGAGACCTCTTTTCACCTCGGTTGTTGCACCCTGCCTGGACCTGCATCTAGGATGCGTTTGAGAAAATGTCACATCGGTCTAGTTAATATTGGGAGACGTGACTTGCATTAGCGATTACTAATATTGCCGCGGTCGAGATAATTATGGATTGGTGCGAGTGTTAGGAGGTTACGGTGGGTAGCCCGACCTGCTCGGGCACTGTGTTATAAATACCCACATTATTTGCCCACTGCAGAGGATGATATTTCTACCCGGCTAGTGAGAGCATTTTCAGTCCACCTACCCTCTGTCCAACTGGTTTGGTCGCTTTTGTTAACAGGCTTTTCGAGTTGCTTCCATCCCATCAGGTTGTCCTACTCATCCCCCTTTGATTACCCTTGACATAGACACGTATGACGGCCTCTTTTAACTCCCCATTTACAGGTATTATTCATACTAACTTGAATGTAAAGACAAATACCTTCTATGTCATAACTCTACAAATAAGAAAAATTATTCCAACTAACCCAGTAGTTCAATGTCAATTTGAAGGCCATGACCAAGTGAGGTCCTTTAAAAATGAGTACCAGGAGTGGGGGACTTCGTAGAAATCTCTACGCATTCACATTATTTGCACAACTTGATTGTCTACTTGAGCTTTTGTAACACTACTACACAATGGGCCATAGTCTTTGCCATTTCGAGTAGAACATATTGTTGTGAGAGTTGTTTCCCTTGATGTTTCAATAACATACCGGTAAACATTAAAATGGTGAAGCTAAACTTGCATAAATTGTAAATGAACACTCTGACCATAGATCAGTTGCATTTAGTGTAACAACCTCATATCAATTCCATACTAATCAGAGCACTAATAATCTCAATAATAAAATTTATTTTTACAAAAATATTACTTCCAAAATATATGGCATATACAAAATTTAAAGCCAAAAATGTAAAGATTACAAACTTTGCCAACTAATGACATAATTTGTCATTTGTGTTCCCATACTTCTAGTTAACTTACTTTAACTGATTCGACATTTCACTTTAACCTGCAATTGAGGAAGGAATAATGTTGGTGAGTTTGGAAGCCCAGGAAGAATAAATCCGCAATACGACGAGTGTACAAATAATCAAGTATCAATTTTTGACCAGATTGACATAAGCATCAAATATATTATCAGTCACATATTTGATTTTGTCAGTTCGGACCTTTATTTGAGTTCATTAGCTCGGACCTTTACCAGATTTGACTCTGCTGGCTTGGACCGATTCAGTATACTCGAAGAGTATGAATTGAAATATCAGAATGATAACATGTAAATCAAATAGAGTACGAAACTGGAATAATCAAATGAAGCACTCTTTGCAAAGAGATTGTGAATAACCCACTTACTGAATCCTCAATTGACACTGATATATCTCCTTATTTTTGTATCAATAACATACTCCATTTTGATAATAATTGGAGTGGAGATCACATTTTGATTGATCTATTGAGCTCACAATTTTCACGTCACAAATGTTCTTTTTATATTTTTCCTATTCTTTAACTCATGGTCCTTTCCTTCCAATTCACATAAGCCAAATATCATATCATATCATATATATGTACCAACCTTGCTTATATTGACGGCAACACACGGCCATGCACATAGCCTTGTCACCTAAGGTGGACCCTTGTCCACTTATTACTTTTCTTTCATTTTATTTCCTTCTTATTATCTATCTAATTCCTCACCACTACACAATAAATATATATAACCTACTTGTCACAAGACACAGTGATAAAAAGATTAGTTTAATTGTCTTTTGCACCTTGTAAAGCATAATATTTGTAATTTAACCCTCAACTTGTTTCTAATATTTTAAATAATTACATTGTGACCTTAAATTACATTTCTACAATTTGAAATAGTAACAATTGCACTTACTCAATCTTAATTTCATTAGGAACATACACCTAGTCCTCCTTAATTAGTAGGGTGTTCACTAAACCTCGTATTACTTGTGAATAAAGACAAATCGTAATAGAAGTAACAATTTTTGAAAAAGACTAAAATACCATCTGTTTTTGTTCCACTTTTCTTTGTTATGCCTTTCATTCCAAAAACTTAGTCAAAGAAAAATGGACCTGCATCCGGAGCACACCCCCTTCCAACCACCATCGTAGCCCCATCCCTACAAATTCCTCCCCAGAAAACTATACCAGAAACCCCCATACAAAAAAAACTGAGATCCAGAACCAAGATCCTGTACTCATATACTCCCACACATCATTCCTTTTCCTTGACCTAACTGGGAGAGAAACATCTAAGCTTTGCCCCTCTCGTTTCCTATAGATCCACCTTTCCTATAGCTAATCCTCCCACAGCCACTTGGCACCAGCCTAAGACGGCGAGGGATATCACCCCTTATGGACGCCATCCTCGATCAACCCAAAGAACCAAAAAAAAAAAAAGGGGTCCATGGAAGGATCCTACATGGACACTATAGCGGAGGTCAAAAAATCTTCAAAAAAAAAATGTTGGTTCCTTCACGACCTCAACTATACCCAATCATAGTCATTTAATTTTTTAAGTTGTAATCAAGGATCAACATTTCGTTTCGAAACGGTCAAACCATTCGAAACGTTTCCGTTTCCAAGGAGACCAAAGCGAAACAGTGATGAAATCGAAATTTTAATATTTTGAGGTGTTCTATAATGTTTCGAAATGTTTTGATATATTTCAATGCATTTACACAATTGTTTCAAAATGTTTTAAAGTATTTCAAGATATTTTGGTATATTTCAAACTAATATTTAAAAAAAATAATTTTAATTTTTTTTTTTTTTCATTCTGTTTCCAAAATGAGTTAAAATGTTTTCGAAATACGTTCAAACATTTCCATTTCTTAAATGACCAAAATAATGTAGTGAAATAAAATTTTGATTATTTGTTGTAATGATTAAATTGGGAATTAGATACCTATCAAAGTCTCGGATTAATGATTCTACCAAATCCAAGGGGCTCATATCCAAACATCGAACTCTCTAGACTCGAAAGGCCTCAACCACCCTCAATGACAAACATTTTCCAACTTCACGCACATAATAGACAACTCTCAACTACGCCTCTTAACGTTCGTGATGAATTTAACAAAGGGCTTACAAGAGGAAGTGGCTCGTGAGGCTGGCGAGAGAAAGAGAGAGGAGTTGCAGTAGGCGAAGCCGTGGCTACAAGAACTTTTATCAGCCTTTTTTGTTTTTTTTTGTTTTTTATCATGTCTTTTTTTGGGACAAATTTAAAGAAAGGGAAAATTGTCTTCTTTAAGATAGATAGCCATCTCATTCACATCACACGCACTTTGTATAGTACATGTGACTCGGACACTATCAAAATTGACTTGCTTTTCTTATATTTGCACTTTATTCACAAGTAGGAGGGGTCTGGTGAAACCCATAGTAGTTGCGGAGATGTTGTGGAATCGACCCTAAGTTCATGGGTTTGTGTGTAATTAACCCCAAAAACTTGTCCGAGCTAATTTTTCGTGCATTGTTGCACAACAAAGCTTAAGAAACTTACTAGACTGGATTGTTGTGTTGCTGTAAGATATGGCACCAATTTTGTGTACAATAGATAATTTAAAACACACTCTCAATTGATGTGAGACAAGTTTATTGTAGTACTGTGCTCCTGGGCAACTTTGCTCTGTGAAATGGTTATCGCACTTTTAGGCATATAGATTTTCCATTTGATGATAATGGCCTAAGCCAATTGCTATAGCAAGAAAATAACTCCATAAAGTAGGCTTGTATTTGTTCTTATATCTGACATACTAGATCTTGAAGCAGTGAACTGGAAGTGTTCCTTTTCCATCCATCCTAGACATTACCTATAACATTATGATTTTTAACCATATCGATAATCTAATGCGATTCTTTATTTAATTGCAGAATGTAGACTTAAGTTCTCATATTCTTTTGTTGTTATGTCTTGTTGTTTACAATGGCAGTCAACTGAAAAGCTCCTCATTTTAGATTTAGATTTAAGTTCTCATATTCTTTTATTGTTATGTCTTGTTGTTTACAATGGCAGTCAACTGAAAAGCTCCTCATTTTAGATTTAGATTTAAGTTCTCATATTCTTTTATTGTTATGTCTTGTTGTTTACAATGGCAGTCAACTGAAAAGCTCCTCATTTTAGATTTAGATTTAAGTTCTCATATTCTTTTATTGTTATGTCTTGTTGTTTACAATGGCAGTCAACTGAAAAGCTCCTCATTTTAGATTTAGATTTAAGTTCTCATATTCTTTTATTGTTATGTCTTGTTGTTTACAATGGCAGTCAACTGAAAAGCTCCTCATTTTAGATTTAGATTTAAGTTCTCATATTCTTTTATTGTTATGTCTTGTTGTTTACAATGGCAGTCAACTGAAAAGCTCCTCATTTTAGATTTAGATTTAAGTTCTCATATTCTTTTATTGTTATGTCTTGTTGTTTACAATGGCAGTCAACTGAAAAGCTCCTCATTTTAGAATTTATGAATGGGATTCGTTTAAATGACTTTGAAGCACTGGAAACATTGGGTGTTGACAAACAAAAACTTGTTGAAGAGATTACACGTGCATATGCGCACCAAATATATATTGATGGATTTTTCAATGGTGACCCTCATCCTGGTACTCATCTCTCTCTATAGCTTCACTTCCACCACCAGATTTTTTTCGGAGCTTTTTGGTCATCAAGCTATAATTAGTCACATGTTATTTCCATTACAACATGGGGATTGTTCTTGAAAATACTCATTTGAAGTATTCATTGGGTGAGTTTTCAGGAAATTTCCTTGTTAGCAAGGAACCTCCACATCGTCCAATTTTGCTCGACTTTGGGCTTACAAAGATGCTATCAAGCTCTATGAAGCAAGCTTTAGCAAAAATGTTTCTGGCATCTGCTGAGGTTTGTATGACTCCTTGAGTATGATTAAATTGTATTGAGCCTCACTCCATGTGGACACATGTCCATTGGCAAGATAACCTAGATATTCTAAACACATGATAAGAAAAGAAATAAAGCATGTCATGTCACCAAAGATTTGTGTCGAAGTTCAAAGGTCAATGACTCCCAAAAGAACAAATGAAATGGCTAGGCATGTAACATTACCTGGAAGTACAACGATATTGCTAGCTTTTTTTGTTGATAAGTTGGGCCTTTTTACTAAGGTGTCTAACTTGTTTCAACCGACATAGCTATCTGTGGATATAGTTTCCTAAGTTGCCTCATCTAGCCATATGCCAAAGTGGCATGTTCTTAGGTGGATCACCCATGATCCACTCTTCGTAGCTGATCCAAATTAGAGTTAGGAAGCACTTATTCGGATAGGAGATATGAGTATGATACAAGATGGAAACAACGATGCAACTAAACTGAGAAAAAAATAAGATACAGGTACAACCAAGACACGTCTATGATGAAAATTTGTTTATATTGTCATTATTATCTGATGATTAAATAACTACAAATTTCAGTAAATTCTTTGATAGAATATTAAAAACTAAGCAAATTTATCATTTTCGAAAGGTATATATTGTTTCATCATGGTACACCATCAAAATAGGCATGACTAATTAAAGGAACTAGGACTGACATGCCAAGAGTTGGTTTGCTTAGAAGTAGTTGCCAAGAGATGGAGTGTAATATGGTCATTTTATGTCCTTTTGACACATTGTAGTAGATAAATATGAGTATTATTCAAGGTGCGAGGGGCACTAAGGTGCCAAAAGTTCCCTAGGTTCTCATCACATTTTTCATTTTTTCCATTAGCTCACCTTAGTTCAGATAAACGAAGCTCTTTAGTACGGAAGCAAACTCTGACATCTCAACTTCTAAATTTATGTAATGCCAATCCATATGAATCATAACAATAATAAACCATTTAGCTTGTAATTTCACAAGTTTAGTACTTTACAAAATCGGAGCTAACTGTTCACTTCATAGTGTAAATTTGTGTACTCCATAAGTAGAGAACATGTTGTAGTTCCTGGAGGGGAAACTCGATGTGAATCTTCCTTCATGATTATACACGTGGAGACTAAGACACTTAAACTAAGGGGGTAGTTTCAATTTTAACCCAAATCAGTTACAAATTAAAACATATATCTATCGTAATTACCTCTTCTCAATCGAATATGAAAATTAACGATGAGAACCCCTTTAATTACCAACAACCCTTAACACCCATGACCATTGATTAAATTAATATGCAATTAATTCGTTCAAATCAATCTCACGGTGATCCCAAATTTCACAAAACTCAATTTGCACAACTATGGATGCTATGATATCAAGCAATCACAATATTAAACACATAGTGCAGGTGTGTGCTCACAATTGCAAGTGTGTATACTAATCAATAAGAGATGCAATTTGGTGACACAGAAAACCCTCCTCGGTAAAAACTGCGGGGAGTCATTCGGGGTTCACCAACGCATAATCCACTACGCGTCAAGTCAATATACAAGTACTCGAGTCTTATACCTCAACTAATACCCATGACTAGATGCTCCTTTCCTTATTATATCTCTTTACTGAAACTCCCTCTTCGACGTCTGGTGTAATTTTACTTAGACCTCCTTGCCACATAGTTCGTCTAGGCCTCGAGCGATTATGAGTTCGCTAATAATCTTTGGTACACAGACACCAATGAGTTTGTTCACCAACAAACTTTTCTACTCTATGTTGTGAGGATGGAAAGAATTACTAGTGGTAGCCTTTGGATTCTTAGGGATCTTAGTTGTGGTGGAAGCTTTTAAGGTTGAAAGAACGATTTTTTATCTATCTAAAGGCTTTCTCAAGGTTTAACTTAGATGTGAGAAAGACATTCCTTTTTTATAATTTTGGAGTAAGGATAGTCTTAATGAGTAAGAAAACTTAGCTTCCCGAATGAACGCTCGATCGGTGGGAGGGCGGTCATGGGGTGGTTGTCGCTAGAGGAAAAACTGCGTTCCAATCTCGGCTAAGGCAAGTATCGCTCGAGCGACCATGAGCACCACTCGAGTGAGCTTATAAAGCGAGCCCTGTGTTGCTTTTTATGGCCTTTACCCCTTTGTTCTTCTAAGTCATCAAGAGACTGTTCTAGCAAAGGTTAGCGAGTATAGGGCAGTCCCTATAGGTTTTTTAATCCTAAAATCATACAAAAATTTCTCCTCTCGAGCATTAAAGGGTATTCCTCGAAGAAGGTTCCGATTGTGACTCAACCTATGTTTTCAAAGCACAAAATTGGTTTAGAAAAACTTTTCTTTAAAAATTCCAAGGGGTCATAATCGAATCGCTTTCAATTCCATTTTTCATCCTACTCACCCTAAGTTAAAAATAACTAAGGGATAATCTTCGGTGTCTAGGTTATTATCTTTGTCCTAAGCATGAAGGTGTATATGGAGGTTGAGTAATGTAGCTTTGATACTTGATCTCCTCCCTTTAATGAAGCTTTCGTATCCTGAGCTTGATTGTATCATTACTATGGAAGTGGTTGAGATTTTACAATGGATTCCACGAAATTAGCCAATTACAAAATATGATCTAACACATGCTTCACAGGTCAAACACCACCAAAGAGATGTCTTAGAAGTCTGAAGCAACAATCCACGACCCTATATATGATTTAATCACCCGTAGACAAGTTTACCAGCATCCTATTCTAGAGAGGTGAAGGTTAAACAAGGCTTTGCGGTACAAAGGGTGTTGGGGCATATCTCATGTTTGAGGTGGTGGGCTTGAGTGCCATTAAAATGACTAAATGGCTAAAAATTGATTGTAATATTTATTCTGGTACTTATAAGCACCAAAACGAAAATAATATACAAATACCATCACTAGTACTCTTATCATGACTCGATTAACAAGTATTTACTATCTCATCAAAAAGTCCAAATTTTTTTGGAAATAGTTACTATCGTGGCTTAGAACCAATTGTCATTAGGGTATGGAGCATGACTGGCCATGGAAGGCTAACATGGAATTAAATGTGTTGTCACTTGTTTATGATTAATGATTTTCTTAGCGGAAACATCTGTGATTACATATTATTTACTTGTAATAATAATATATATATATATCCTATACAATCACATTTGGTCAGAGCAACCCTACCAATATCTCATTAACAACTAATATAGTTGTTACAACTCATAACATCCATCGGGCATTTATACGACGCATGGCTTTTACATACCAAAAATAACTTTCCGAAAATGTCATTAACAACTTTTACACATAACCACCAAAAGATTGTCGTATAAACAGAACCCTTGAGCTTAGTCCCCTTCACTTGAAAAAGTTTTAGAAAGAAAGAGTGAGCAATGTCCAACGATGTCCAATGAATAATTCCTATGCCTTGTAATGATTTTCAAGTAAAACATGTAACATTTCCATGGATACAAATATTCATATCAAATAGCATCATAAGATTTTCATGACAAGTTTATGAATATAATTTTTTTTTAGAAAAAACCAACATATCCAAATAACCCATAGAAATACCATTGATTCCCATTATTTTTCACATGTTTATGAATATAATGGCAAAGATATAATCAGTCATCTAACATGTCAACGGGCCATTCCCATTCTTATTTTGATCTCTTCGGATTTGACCTATTGGATTGGATCTAAATCAAATTTGAGTCCGCCGGCTTGGACCTTTACCGTATTTGAGTCCCCTACCTATTTTAGCATTGGCATTTGATAGCATTTAGAACAAATTTAGGTATCAAAATTCCAGTCCATGGTATAAAATTTCTCACGTTAGTTCTTAACTAGACTCTTTATAACTCTTGACTCCCTTTAACAAATCCCACACATATTTCATTTACATTACTTTTATTGCGCAACACATAGGTAATTCTTCTTATTCGTAAGGATCAAAATTTGATTTCGAAACGGTAGGAACGTTCGAAACGTTTCTGTTTCCAAGGAGACCGAAACAAATCATTGATATAATCAAAATTTTAATACTTCAAGGTGTTTTATAATATTTCTAGGTGTTTTGTAATGTTTTAATGTATTTACACAATTGATTCGGAATGTTTCAAGGTATTTCAAGATATTTTGGTATATTTCGAACAATGTTTTAGAAAATTAATTCTTAAATTTTTATTTTTTTTATTGTGTTTCCTGAACGGGTCGATACATTTTCGAATCACGTCGAAATGTTTCTGTTTCCTTAGTGTCCAAAACAATGCACCAAAACAAAATTTTGATCCTTGTTCGTTAAGTACTTAATATGTTGATTATTGATCCCTAATGATTGTCATCATGTACTTATTGTTATTCCTCTTTCTTCTCATTCCAAGTAATAGGAAAGACATTAATTTCAGTCCTTTAAGCCTCTTGGTCAATACGTCTAATGTTTCGGTTTTAGTCCCATTTAAAGTTTTCATTTATGCATTATTTTCATAATTTGTCAGATTAGACCTTTGTACTTTAAAAGCTTCATAAACTAACTTATACAAGCTGAAACTTCACAAGGCCAGTGACAAATAATAGACTCATAAGAACTTCATTTCCACAAAAAATTACTATTTTTGGAGATCAAATACATGTTCAAAATAACTTGTAAAATCGAGCATAAGTTACAGATTTTCAGGTTTCAGCATGTCAGGATTAACTTTAGAAATTCACCAAAATTCAAGTTTTCATCCTTTTTGGATGAAACCAAAGCCAAAAGAACCCTTTACTAGTCTATTTCAAACCCTCATAGTTTAATAATCATCGACCAATTATAACTCATAAATGATCCGGAAAACACCTGCTATCCAAAATTGCAGAAATTTTAAAAAGTGTTAAAACTCTGTTATTAACAACCCGAAGGTTCATATCATGTGAAATACCCATAGCCTTATAATTAAACTACCTAGAACATGATTCCTTATTTACTTTTCCTTTCTTGATGGTTATTGACTAATTATTTCTGATTAGAGTAAAGAGTACATACTTAAAACCAAGAATCATATCTTGTTTGAGAGTAATTTCAAGCCCTAGATTACTTCCTTAAACTTTTTCCTCTCTTTTCTTCCTCTTTTTCTCCTTTTCTCTTGCTATTCTCTCATTCTCTACATAAGCACCTCTTTCTACACACAAGCTCTCATATATATATATATATATATATATGAGACTTGTAGTTCTTAGAGCTTTCTCTCCATTTGAGGTGTCTTCATCTAACACTTTCTCTCTCTTACTCTACAAAAACACCTCTTTCTATACACAAGTTTTACTTTGAAAAGTCAACAATGGTGACTTGATTAGCTAGGCTAATCTTTTAATTAGACATTTCTAAACTCAATTCACTAAAGTTAATCCATATGATTAGGGTCCTTAATTAACTCAACATTTGGTATATACCCCATATGTTCATGGATCCAACATGTATAATTCCAAACCCAAAGAACTATCAAAACATCATAGCATGCACGTGTATAAAGTATACCATTAGTATGACAGTTATTGTCTCTTTGCTATATATTTACGAGTCTAATTATGCTTACCAATTTGCTTTCATTTAATACTCCATTCTCAGTTCTTTTGGAAGTGGTAATTCTGTGTGATCACATTGCGTACATGTTTAAACCTGTTGGGTGGTATTGTTATATTGGTCGTACAATTGATTCCATCTGTTCTTGTTGGGTGTCCAATAATTAAGATGCTAGTTCTTGCAGGGGGACCATGTGGCACTCCTGTCTGCATTTGCAGAAATGGGACTTAAGTTGCGTCTTGACATACCGGAGCAAGCCATGGAGGTAACAAATGTGTTTTTCCGTACTTCAATGCCCGCAAAGGAAGCACTTGTAAGTATGCACTGTTTGCTTGTCAAAAATTTCTGTTCAGCTCTTCCAGCTTTTATGTCACACTGATTGTTTTGTTTGGTTAAGGAAAATACAAAATCTTTGGTTGAGCAAAGGACCAAAAACTTGAAAGCCCTACAGGGAAAGATGAAGCTCAACCCAAAAGAAGTTAAACGTTTTAATCCCGTAAGTGCATGTACATCATCCTTATTGTTGTCTTTTTGACTGTCTGACTATTATATCCCTTATTAAGGAGTCTAATTATGTTTATCTACAGGTTGATGCTTTTCCCGGCGATATTGTGATATTTTCCCGGGTTGTTAATCTGCTTAGAGGTCTTTAATTCCTCTGTTTCTTGCCTAATTGTGTTGAACATTTGTGCGCTTCTGATACATTTCATGACATGGATTCAGGGCTTTCATCCACAATGAATGTTCGCGTAGTTTATTTAGATATCATGAGACCATTTGCGGAATCTATTTTAAAAGGGTAAGTCTTTTCTGAACTTAAGTTTGTTGGAGTCTTTGTCTACCGCATATCTCATTAAATTGTGGATTTATTTGTTTCAGTGACATAAACAAAAGACCAGCAATGAATGCACAATGGATACACAACATGCCTGTGCATTCTGATGTGGAGGCCAAGCTAAGGCAGCTCTTAGTTGAGTTGGGGAATGCTGAGAAAATACTTGGAATTCAGGTACATGCCCCAATGAAATCACGTATACCAACCACCTTGCCACGAAGTTTAAAAATTCCACCTGTCCTTTTGAACAGAAATAATTAGCTCAATTAACCCAAACTCGTAGTTTCCTGATTGCTTCATCTGTTTATCACTTGGTTCAGTTTCATATTACCTTCTTGTTCTCTTTATGAGTAACTTGTTTGGCCTTACACTTTTGTAACGCCATTGTGTGGTTTTGTGAATTAGTAAGGCTAGTAGTCTACCTAATGTCTCTAGTTTCTGGGGTAGCAGACATGAAATATATGGCATAGAAGTTGAAATCTCAAGATGTGTTGTTTTAGGGTTTAGATTTAATAAGAGGTAAGAGAAGGAATGACAAGAGTAAAACAATTAGAACTAGGGTTGAGAAGAATGAGAGTTGTTATTACTCTCCTCATCACCCATATTTATATTAACTCATAATCAACTACAAATAAAAGTTGGTACGACTCCTTGGTGGGAATGAAAAGGCGGTACCCCAATCACAACACAAGGCATGTTCAATTGACAAAGCCTAGGAGGAGACTGAAGGAAGGCTGTTGTAATACACCGTTCCATTTTGGCAAGGAACTAGCTTAGAGAATATTATCTTGGAAGGAATAAAAAAAATTTTAAAGAAGAATTTAGAATAGTTTAGAATATTCTAGAATATTGGAGAAGTTTCTAGAAAAATCTAGAATAGTCTAGAAGATTCTAGAAAGTTCAAGAATAATCTAGAATAGTCTAGAATAATCTAGAAGTCTAGAATATTTTAGAAGGTTTTAGGAAATACTAGAAGGTTCTAGAGGGATTTAGAATGTTCTAGAAAGTTTCGGAAGGATTTAGAAGGTTGGAGAAGACTTTAGAATATTATAGATGAATCTAGATACTTGTGGAATTGTCATGTGTAAAATAAGTTGGAAACCTAGAAGGATCTAAGAGAGGGGAGATGGTAGAATATTCTAGGGAATCTCCCTAAATATGTTACATGTCAATATTCTCTAGAATAATCCTAGGATGCCTATAAATAGGGCATTTGAGGATTAAATTAAGGATAATAGGGCACAAGTAGTCTTCCACTTTCAAGAAAGAATAAAGAGTAAAAGAGAGAAGAAGGAAGGAAGAACACTTCATCAATGGAAATTGTGAGAAAAAGAGAAAAGACATCAATAACATCTCACTCTACTTCGGGTAACAAGCAACATTGAAGAAGCATATAATTCTCTTTGGACTTGAGGTAAACGATTGGAGTGTCAATAGCGGACTCAGAGAATTGATTGAGGACTAATAGTGTTGTGACCTCCGCCGTATAGCCCTCTTTACTTGCATTTGGATAATTGGGGCAAACAGGTTTAGGTATGTTGACTTTAACATATTAACATGAGATCAATTTAGTGTTAATGTTTTTTTTCAATCCTATATTATTAGTTTATTGTTAGGCTTACGTGTTCCATAGGTTATAGGTCTATGGTTCACGGCCAGTCATGCCCTTAGAGTTGGGGTGTGACAGTTGTTTAATCGGCCCTACATTCATTATTTTAGGAAGGAAGGAGATTAGGGCCGATCTTGACTATTACTATCGGGCTAGTTTACAGCTATGCCCTTAATTAAAATATCCTAGCATTTTGTGCTACCCTTAAGTTGGAGCATAAATATCTTTCATGTCCAACTTGCATACATCTAAATGGAAAATTCTACCACCAAGTCCTTTATTAAACCCAATTGCTACTTGGATGTAACAAAAGACATACAAATCAACCCATCCTTTTTCTTCTCTTTGATGAAGTGTTTGTCAATCTTAATATGCTTTGTTCTATTATGCTGAATTGATTGTGAGCAATATTTATGGCAGCTTTATTATCACAATACAGATGCATAGACTCACAATTAAAAACCCCCAAGTCTTTCATTAAGGTTTTCAGCCACATAAACTTTCAACTATCATGATCCATAGCCCTGTATTCTATCTCTGCACTGGATCTAGCAACCATTGCTTGTTTCTTGTTCCACCAAGTGATTAGATTTTGTTCTACAAAGGTGTAGTTACTTGTAGTAGACCTCCTATCATCAATTGAGCCTGCCTAATCTGTATCTATGAAGACTTTTAATCTTAGGTGATTTTGTTTTGAGAACAATATTTCTTTGTCTAGAGACGACTTAAGGTACCTCAGTATACGATGAATTGTCTCTTGATGGGGAAGTCGAGGAGCATGCATAGACCGGCTAACAACACTCACTACATATGCCATATCTGGGCGAGTGTGAGAAAGGTATAGAAGTCTCCCAACAAGTCTCTGATATCTTTCTGTATCAACTTGATCACCTTCATTATCTCTCAATCTATGATTTGTTTCAATGGATGAGTTTGCAAATCTACAACCTAGCATATTGGTTTCCTTCAGAAGATTAATGATATACTTCCTTTTTGAGATGAAGATGCCTTTATTTGATCTGGCTAGTTCAATCCCTAAGAAATAGTGTAAACGTCCTAAGTCCTTGATTTCAAATTCTTTATCAAGGTGGACTTTTAGTTTGGCCACTTCCTCCACATCGTCACTTGTGAGTAATATGTCTTCAACATATACTATAAGAATTGAGATCTTATTAGTCCGTTGTTTGATGAATATTGTGTGATCTTGCTTGTACCCAAATTTAACCATTGCTTTAAGAAATCTGTCGAACCAAGCTCTAGGAGACTGCTTTAATCCATAAAGAGATTTCTTTAAATTAAATATTTTTTCCTTTGTCGCTAGAGATGAGAAACTCGAAGGAAAATTCATATTCACTTCCTCTTCCAAGTCCCCATAAAGTAATGCCCAACTGTTGTAGATTCCATCCCAAATTGGCTATACAAGAAAGAATGACTCGAATGAAATTCATCTTAGCAACTGGGATAAAAGTCTTCAAATAGTCAATACCATACGATTGAGTAAACCCCTTGGCTATTAGTCTTGTCTTGTCTTGTATCTATCCACTATACCATCCATATTCTTCTTGATAGTGAACACCAATTTATAGCCTACTAATTTTCTTAAGGTGAAAGAGACAAAACTTCCAGGTTTTATTCTTGCCCAGAGCTCTCATTTCTTGGGATATAAGAGAAAAAATCCATCCACTAGCATATCTTTCATAAGATACTGCTCCCCTAGAAGAGATGATGGAGTGGAGAAAGATGACTTTGTTTCATGAAATGTGACATCCGTTCTAACATATACCTTCCAGGACTGGGGATGATAACAATTATACCTCCCTTCTGGGTAGCTGAGTAAACAATGAAGACACAATGTAACGCCTTTGATCCAACTTCCCCTTGGTCTTTCGATAATCATGTGCAAAACACATATAACCAAACACTTTTAGAGGAATAAGTAAAGAGAAACTGACCCTTGAAGCAACCCTATAGAAGTGGCAAAGTCGAGGATCTCTCAAAGGCATCTTATTGATGAGATATGTTGCCGTAAAAAACGGAGGTACACCCATCGTAAACATTAAGGAGCATGCTACTTCAAGGAGATATTGATTCTTCCTCTATGCTTATACCATTCCGCTCAGGTGTATTCACCCAACCAGATTGATGAAGAATTCCATGTTCCATAAGATAAGCTTGGTAGTTTCCATTAAATTATTCAGTCTCATTATCCGTCCTGAGAATCATAATTTTGACATCAAACTAAGTGTGTACCAGTTTATGAAAATTCTTGAAACAAATAAATACTTCATTCTTGCTGTGCAATAGATAAACCCAAGTAACCCGTGTGTAGTAGTCAATGAAAGTAGCAAACCATCAATATCTAGTAAGAGAAATAACATGAGATGGTCCCCACACATCAGCATGAACAATTATAAATGGAGTAGTGTTTCTATTATTATTACTAGGATAAAAAGTTCTTGTATGCTTGGCAAATTCACAAGTATCATATAGAAAGTTATCTTTATTATATTGTTTTACCAAAGGAAATTTTTTCTCTAATACTCCAGTTGATGGATGACAAAGTCTTTGATGTCATTGATATAACTGTTGAGGGCCACAAAACTAGAAGCCTACAGTGTTTGAGAAGGTTGATCCTCCAACAAACACAAACCACCATAAGCTCTATCACTGCCAATCATTCTTTCTGTTCCGAGCTTCTGAAAGACACATAGAGAAGGGAAGAATGTTACAAAACAATTTAGAAACTTTGTAATGCTACTTAGTGAGAGTAAGGTAGTAGAAAAATTAGGAACATGGAGGACTGGAGACAAAAATGTAGATGGAGAACAATGTATGTAACTTTTCCCAAATACAAATGATAATGGGCCATCTGCTACCCTAACTTTCTCTACTCCAACATGTGGAATAAGAAGAGAAAAGATTCGAGAAACCTATCATATGGTTAGTGTCTCCAAAATCGATAATTTAGGGATTAGAAGAACGAGTGGTACTAAAAACATTGGCATGTATACCTGTGTGGGCAAGATTGGAAATAGCAGAAGTGGAGGCAAATGCAGATGTATCAAGTCGGGCCATCAAACACCTGAGAGCTTGCATCTCATCTACAGTGAAACTCGTACTATCAGCACCAAAAGATGGAGATGAGCTACTGTAGGAGGGGATAGGATCAACACTCTTAGTCAAATGAGCATGTGAGTGCATAGGACCAACCCTATTACCACCACGCCTACTTGTTGGACAACCGTGTAGCTTTCAACAATGGTCTTTGGTGTGCCTCATATGTCCAAAATAATCACATTTTAACAGGTCCTTTTCAACGTTCTCATTTTTTCCATCACCACAAAATTGGAAAGATATGTTCTCTTTATGTGGAACAATTGCTAGAGCAAATCGATCATGGACATAAATATAAAGCATGACACTCCTACTCTCCTCCTATTATACATAAGCATATGCTTGTCTTAAAGAAGGAAAGGAATATCTTCCCAAAACTTGTATACGGATTTGATCATACTCCAATATACGGATTTGATCATACTCCAACAATAAACAAGTGGAAGCGGTACCTGATTAAAGTAGCAATGGAGAAAGATGGTAATACCTGTTGTTGAGACATGAACCGAACATACTCTTCTCGTGCAATAGTAATTAA